TTGATCATATCCGCTATATATTATCTATGGCTGCGTTTGTCATCAGGTATTGCAAAATATTCAATTTGTGTTTATTTCTATTACAAATTACAAATCTTGTTTGTGGGACTGGATACAGGATATTTAAGAGTTGAGTCCGGTCGTTTTATATTGTAATAATTAAAAATCTTTGATTTCATAATAATGATAGTTGGCTTCACATTTAAGGGCTTTCAAATGCTATTTATTTAGGTCATACTTTAAGATTTATATAAGGACATTTCTAAACATTCTGCCGCCATCTTCCATATTAAGAGCAAAGTAAATATTTTGTTTAGCTTTTAATTTAATAGACGCATTTCATTCATCATCGTATTTATATTTGAGTGTCAATAATAAAGAGACTAGAAGTAGTAGAAGAAGCACACTCTCACAAAATCCGAATATTATTTTTGCAAAAAGGCAAGAAAAATGGACCTTGAGAATAATATTTTGTCCATTGTCTTTCGTTTCCGTTATAGCCCATGCTATAAAAACTCAATAAATGAAATAAAAACCCTGCACAGACATTGACAAAGCTCTCAAATATTGGTGCTGCCAACAACGTCTGCGACGATTCCGATGACTGCAGAACTTGGCCAAACACTCTAACAAAAATGTAACGCAATCAAAACAAAGGAAATTAAAAACATAAATAAAAACTCAACCCACACACAGACACACACACAGCACGGAAAAGTGGCCATTTTTATTATGTGCTGCAGCAAAGACAACAACAGCAACAATAGCAACAACACCCATCTGAGTGAAAATTATGAGCAAATGCTTTTTGAGGAGGAGACGTATTATTCATCTAACCAGGAGCAGAAGAGGAGCATTTGGAGGCACGCTCGAGCATTCTCAACACGCTTCTTAACAAAACGCATGACAGCAAAAGGCGACATTTTAAACAAAAAGGGATTAAATGCACAAACACAAAGAAAGAACAGTAGCAGCAGCAACAACAACAATAACAACAAATATAACAGCAATGCCAAACAACGGCGACAAAGTGCAGCAAAAAAATTTCAACACTTTTCCGTTTGTGAAAAACTTTTGCGCTCGTTTGAAAAGGAGTGCTGCAAGCATGGTTTGTACTATATTTTTTTTTTTTTTTTTTTTTTTTTTTTGCTTTTTTTGGTGGGTTGTCGTTGCCGCTTAACGTAGATAAATTGTGTTAGAAAAAGAGGCGGTACCCGTTGGCAGTCTGGCCTGTGCGGGTCCATTCGTATAATTCACTTTTGTCAGACTCATAAAAATTGTTGAGTGACATTTGTTTGTGTTTCCCGTTTGCTGTCGTTGTCATTGCCGTCTTGCTTGTATTGTTGTTGTTGCTGCTGTTGTTGTTGCTGTTGCCATTGTTGTTTTTCACTGATTTTGTGTCAGTGCAACCATCTTTTTCTTTTCCACTAGAGAACACACAGCCACACACACAAACACGCACACACACACACACACACACCCGCAGACATCGCATGTCTTTTTGTTTTGTGCCTTCTGGCGCTCGGCTTTTGGCGTTTTGTTTTTTGTTTCATATACATTTTGTTTTGCCGGCTTGTTTTGTTGCGCTCGTGTTGTGGCAGCGAAAAAGAAAATTAGTGAGTTTGGTTATAAAAATACGTACACACATACTATATGTATATAAATTCATATAAAAAGAATTCCTTGCTTGTGACAACTCGTTTTGCTCTGACAGAGGTTTCCGCTGTGAAGAAGCAGAAATGTGAAAACGATGAGTTTTATGTAACATTATAAATACACCAAATGGTTCACATGCAAATAGTTAGAAATTTTTATTTCGTGCGAAAGCATTTTCTTTTGTTTTGCATTTTTCTTCCATCTGTATCTTCTATCCTTGTCTCGACTGCTGGACATTTTCCAAGCTTTGGCAAAAACAAAACGTCTTTCAGCAACGTTTGAACAAAAGCTCAAGCATTTGCTTTTTGTCTTTGGCGCAATTTTGCGCAAAACTGTCGCTTTGTGCCACAGCCGAGACAAAGAAAACAATGAACGGCCAGGCGTGGCTTCTTAGCCCACTTTCTCAGAAATTGTAATTGAAAGCAGCGTGTATATTTCTATTATATGCAGTAGATTACTTTTTGAATCTTTGTTTAGGTGTGACACACTTTGTGAGCTATTACACACGCATTAAGCACTTTTCTTCAAAACAAAGCAATTTTGAAGCACTCCAGGCTTTCCAAGACTGATCATCAATTGTTCAAAAAGTAGCTCAGTAGAAATGATCTTCATACTTAATGAACGAAATTAAAATAAATTGAAGATCCTTTTTAATATACTTTTGAATTTTTAGAGGAATGATATAAGATTCTTTTATTTCAATTAATAAATTAAGTACAAAAGAGTTGCATTTTTTGAAAGTGACACTTTCTTTCAAGACTAAAGAGATATAATTTTAAAAGTGATATTGGTTTATTGACGATCAACGCACAGCCTATATATGGGAAGACTCTTTTATTTCGATTAACAAATTAATTATGACAATAATATCTATTGGCACAGTCTTTATATGGAATGATATAAGATTCTTTTATTTCGACTAATAAATTAATTACGAAAGAGTTGCATTTTGTGAAAGTGACAAATTCTTACAAGATTAAAGAGGTGTAATTTTAAATGTGATTTAATGTGATTTTCTCTAGTATAGAGATATAGTATATCAAAATCGCATTAATATATATTGGTTTATTGAAATCTGAATTTTCCTACTTCAAATATTGTTTGCTTACTCTCCAAAGAATACAAAATAAATTGCATAGTTGGTTTTTTGCAATTTTTCTTCAAGATTTTTTCGATTTTTTCAAATAAAAAGCTTGTGTTATAAATTTCGTCCGATCACTTTTTGATTAAGGCTACTTCTTTAACATAACTAGATTTTATTTGTCCGATCGGTCCTTTGAATCGGACTACCATATAAGTATACATGTATACAAATATAGGTAACAATTCAACATTTTGCTAACGATTTTATTTAGAAAGTATAATTTACACATATCAATAAATTTCGGGTTCAGCCATTCTGTACCAAGTTCTGGAGTATTTTCAGCGTTCACACATTTTCATGTTCAATGATTGTGCTGTGTCGAACCGAAAAAACAGGCGTTTGCCAATCTCTAGTAATGCAATGATTTAATGTTTTACCTTAAACGGCTTCCTGAGGTAACCGAGCTACACATCTAATTCATAAGATTTCTGAGAGTCATTTAGCGTTAACTGCAAACACAGAGATTCCTCCTAATATTCCGTTTAATATTCACATCGATCATAGCTTGAATTGAAAACATAAAATTGATTTGGATAACAAAATTAAACAAATGGAACCTGTACGAAAGAATTAATTACAGGTTTTCATTGGTACGCGAATTATTGAGGTTCGCCATGAAAAAATATAGGACACGAAAGGCTTTGTGCAATCAATGGTAAGAGTAAAGCAGCTGACATATAGAACCAAGTTTTCTCTTATAGTGTAGGTCAGCACTAAGAAGTGGGCTTGGAGAAATATATTCCGATTTACTTCAAACTTGGTTTATATAATAAAACAAGAAAGGAATGCTAAAGTCGAGCAGGCTCAACTCTTAAATACCCTGTACCACCCCACAAAAAGTAATTAAATTAATTAATTAATTAAATTTAATTAATTAACTAAATTAATTTAATTAATTAACTAAATTAAATATAAAATATTCCATGCATGCATACATACATTTACATTTACATCAGAATCGTGCCTTATGCGTGTTTGTGTACTTGTACATATGTATGTATGTGTGCATTGGGCCTGGTTATATGGCTATAACTTTCTTTCCGATCATTCTATCATAATGAGACTTGGTATACGGTTATATAATAACTAACCTAATGTGACTACCAAATTTTAGTTCAAAATTCCAAGAATTACGGAAGTTATAGAAAATCGTTAATAGGGGGGGAGTGGGGGGGTGGATCAGAAAAAATGAACAAACTCGTCCTTTCTCGGTCTCAGGAGAATCTGTATACCAAGTTTGGTTATTCTAGCTCTTATACTTTCGGAGATCCTTGCGTTCATACAGACAGACAGACGGACAGACGGACAGACAGACGGACAGACAGACGGACAGACGGACAGACGGACAGACGGACAGACGGACATGGCTATATCGACTCGGCTTGTCATGCTGATCAAGAATATATATACTTTGTGGGGTCTACCAAGCCTCCTTCTGTGTGTTCCATGTGCACTCGCACAAAACTAATATACCCTTGTACCCTTTTGGGTACAGGGTATAAAAAAAGAATACATGATAAGCCGCTAGGTACGTTTTTTGAAATCTTCATTGAAGCATAGAAGAAATAAATATAATAATGTGCAAATGTGTACAAACACACATACATATAAATGTACATATGTATCTACATATGTATGCCCACTTATACAAGTATATGTATGTTTGCAGTGTCATAGATAGACAAACAATTGGATTTTAATTTTAAAAGTGTCTTGCTCTGAATATTGTATACAGACATTCAAATATGTATATATATATAAAACGCGTGAATGATTTTATGTTAACAAATATTTATTCTCGTATATACTATATACTTGTCAACTTGTTTTAATACAAAATTACAGATATCGACGTTGGATTAACTATATTAAGCATGTATTCAGAATAAATATGTTTTTAATTTCAAACTTAAAGCCAAGATCCATTTCAAGTGGAAAATATCTTTTTAATTATACATTTAAAAACATATCGATAAAAAAATGTTATCAATTGAAACGCATATTTTGCCATTTTTACATTAAGTTCAGAAAAAAACAGAAATACCAAGCACAGTAACTTTACAAATACCTGCTACTAATCATTTAATGTAGTTAAACGCTTTATATTTCCAAGGTATATCTAAATACAATTGTAATGCTATTATGTATGTCTTCGTTGCTTATAAAAGCCGGTGTACGTGGCTGAACCTTCAGTCGGGCCAAAATGGCAAACCACCGTACATTTCTTCAAGTCCGGTTAATAGTTCTTCTAAGTTTCTTAGCCGGAATTCACGCCGAGGAGTTCGCCGGTAGATTTCTACAGAAAGCTTTGCAGTTCTCTAGGCAAGATAACGTCATCGTATCTCCATTTTCTGTTCGAGAAGCCTTAGCTCAGGTCTATGTCGGAGTGAAAGGCAACGCCGCTGATGAACTTCATCGTGAGCTACACTTGACTGGACATTCAAAGCGCGAAGCAGTCGAAGAATTTCGTAGATTTCACGAAATATCGTCACCAGGCGGTGGAGCCACTTTGAAAATAGCGAACCGTATATTTGTGGCACACAGGTTTCCCTTGTTGCCAAAATACAAGGATCTTGTGAGGAAATCATTTCGAACAAGAACCGAAAATATTAATTTTGAGAAAAAGGAGCTGGCCGCATCAAGAATAAATAAATGGATATCAAGACGAACTGAAAACTTCATCAAGGATATTGTCCAAGCTGAGAGTTTGGACGATGATTTAAAATTAATGGTTATTAATGCCATTTATTTTCATGGGAAATGGAAAACACCATTCAATCCTGAAAACACTCGAAAAAATAATTTTTTCATACCAGGAGAAGGTGCTGTTAAAGTGGATATGATGCATAGCCATTTAAATTTGCTCCATGGACGAATAGATGCTTTAGATGCTAATGCTGTGGAGCTCCCCTACATTAACTCTAATATCTCCATGATGGTAATATTACCCAATAGACTCAATGGCCTACCAGAAGTGGAGAAGCTTCTGCATGAAGTTAACCTAATAACGCTTACATATGGATTTAGGAAATGGAATATAGATTTGGCTTTGCCAAAATTCAAGTTTGAATTTGAGCTAAATCTGAATCAACCTTTAAAAGATATGGGAATCCGGGAAATATTTCGAGATCCCGATTTTAGTGATTTGACAAATTCTGAGGAAAATTTGCTTGTTTCTAAAGTGATTCAAAAAGCAGTAATTGAAGTGAATGAAGAGGGATCTAAAGCAGCGGCAGTTACTGGTAAGAATTATATTTATATGTCTTCGAAAAACATATAAATTAATTTCTATTTCAGTTGTCGAGATTGCTGCATTGTCGGCTTGGCGACCATCATTTATTGTTAATCGTCCATTCATTTTCGTAATAAAAGATCAGCAAAGAGTTTACTTTGTCGGTCGAGTCAGTAGATTGAATTAATATGGAATGATTCGCTCTGTGGCCCACCTAGAGGCGATTACTATTCCCTAGTAGATATACACACTTTATACTTAATAAAAATAAGGTGATGGTGTTATGTAAATAAAAGTAATTAAATGAGTCGTATAAATATTTAGTCAAAATTAATGAATCAATGGGACATCTTTTAATACAACTTGTACTAATATCTAGCTTAAAGGAAAAAACAGCTACCAGGTTAAATGAGAAGGGAAAAATCGAACGATGTAAGGGAATTGTTGGTTTGGTTTTTTCCGTTCTTTTGAGTACTTGCCCAAAGAGGGAAGGCTATATTATGTAAGTACTACATACTTATGATCAGCATGACGAAACGAATTGATTGATTTACTTAGACATGCTCTGTTCGTCCGTATGAGAACTGAGAACTTTTGAACCATAACAGGTTAAAAGGTACTAATACTAATATGTGTGAGATTTCGTTTTTAAAATTGTGCTCATCATTCAACATTGTACATTGAAAATTTTAATAAACCTTATATAAATGATATAAATAACGCTTTTCGGCCTTAATTATGAAACCTACTATATTCGAATTGAACAATAAATAGCCAATCTCCTAAAGAGCCTAGACGTTCAATAAGTAACGAATTTTGAAAACAGGCGCATTTTTTTAACATAAAGGTTCAATTTGATAAACAATTCAATATGCATTTAACAATGCGATATCTGAATGAGTACTTGTACTATATTTATGTTTGCTGTGACAGAAATTTAAGCTGGTTTTTGCAAATATTGAAGCCTTTCTATTTGTAGAGCTATAACACGAGTATGTGTGTATTTATATAGGCACTTCACAATGTATGACCTCCTACAGATACTATTTGAAATTCAATGCAATGCAGTCATAATCGATTCATTTAAAACCACTTACACAATGGTCGCTTTTAATTTCCCATTCAAACGCCGAACACGAGTTTTTAATGAATGGCGAAGCACCGAAACGCGTGAATTGAAGTGCGAAAAAGCATCGCTTTGAACAATTTGTAACAAAGCGTTCAAATCGGCATGAAAATGGAGCGAAAAGTCTGTACCGCTAGTTTTAAAATTGAAAAACTATGAATTTGCAATGGCTGGACGAGTATGTGGATAAGTGGGTGTGAGTGTGTGAACGGGTGTATCGTTTGAACAACTTCACGCTTTCCAATTTGCAATGCCACACAAACACAACCACACAGACACTCCCACTACATACATATACATGTATGTACATGAAAGCCAAATGAAAGGCGCAGTGGGAAAAAAGAATCAGCTGCGCATTTGAGCTTTTCACTTTCAACACAATTTGTCTCTTCTCTATGTGTTGTTGTTTTTATTATTATATATATATATTTTTTTTACTTGCATTAGAATCCGTCCTGGCATGCAACCAACGAACCACTCACATGAGCGCCACTTTGTTACTCCTCTGCTGATTTCCTTCTTGTTGTTTAGCACTCTTCGCACTCCAGAGTGCATATTGATGAAGCAGCAGACGACGGCATGTTGAAGTGTTGAATTATAAATTAAAACACGGGGCACAAAAGCCAAGTAGCGTTTGATGTTGCAAAGGAGAATAGTGCAATAGTAGTGTTGTAAAATGAATTGCAACGCTGTAGAAGCAAATGCATTAAATAAAAGGGGATGTGGAGTAGGGTGACTCTGTTTTGTTCTTTTAACACATATACATATATTTCATCTTTGTCAATATGCTCAAGAAGTCTGACAGTAAGTCGTGCATTGATTCGAATTCTGTACACCCTTAAACAGATTAAAAGGTAACACTCTTTGAATCATCTTGGTGAGTTCAAGGCTTTTTCTAGAATTTATAAACTTAAATAAAATGTATAAAATCTCTATTCAAGTGTGTATCAGAAATATCGCATGTGCATTGGTAATGATTTTTTCCCCTCTTGCAGGAAGAATTATTCGTCATAGTCTCGCATCTGTAGCCTACATTTGTCAGTGAAACCAGAAACATTTGCAAATAACTCTATATTAGTTATTATTTATTTATTTATTTTAACATTTGTAACTTAGAATTAATCCTAGATCACAAAATTTGATACATATAAAAAGTATATGTATAGTCAGAGCAACGAAGACCTTCAGGCTGACTCTATATTAATAAATCAATGTGTTGCAGAGAATATGAACTATTTATTAAATTTTATAACTTTAAAAATTAATCTTTAAAAAATAACCATATGCTACTGACTATGCACAAAGTTCGCTTTTTTAATCAATATTATTATTTCACTTCATTCTTTACATATATTTCTTAAATAGTGTCCACTTTTCAAACCTATCCATCTGCCTTCCAACCAAAACGAAAGACTGATAACAAACTTAGTTGGGCTTGACTCACTCTCTATAGTTTACCTTATACATATTTATTAAAATATTTATACTTTTTTTGGCATATTGATATGATTTTGATTTTATCATAAAGTTCTTCATTTATTTTTAAAATTTTAATTTTCCAGAAACGGAGATTTGTAAAATGCATCTAAAAATATATCCGCTGGCAATTAATATCGGCATAGTGTGATACAATTTTATTATATTTTTTCGCATTTGAAAACTATGGTCATCCTAATCGGTAAAATATAGACAGCCAAGTGCCAGTGGAATTGTTTGTAAATTGACAAACAAATGCGCGTTTGTGATTCGTCTAGCGACGAAAGGCGAACGGCACACGACAAACGACATGGCCAAGGGGGCGTATGCGTTATACGTGTATGTATCGACATGCACACACACACATACCCATACACAAAGCAGCAACAACTGCAACACTGACAAATGAGCACAAATTGCCGTAGCAGTTTGTCGTTGCCAGCAGTGATATTTTTGTGTTGTTGTTGATGTTGTTGTACATTGCGCTCTTTTTTTGTTGCTACAACTGTGTCAACGGAAGTCAGCGGCAAAGCCGTATTTGCATTAAAGTCGAGTCGCTTCAGTTTCCTGCCGGCACTCCAGCAATCCAGCCTGTCGCTTCACCAAACACCCATTGAAATGCACAGCTCATCAGTTTTAAATTTGGAGTATAGTTTAGCTGTTGTTGTTGTTGGAATTTTTCGTCTGCTGTGTTGTTGTTGCAATGTCTGCAGCACTGCCAAAAACTCATTACAGCGCAACATATCCCGCAGCGAAGGCGAACGCAATCAAACCGCAGAAAACGTCATGTTCAGGGCCCTGGACATGAACATGGCTGCCGCTTTTGTTGTTGTTGTTGCATTTTTAGAACCATTGCGCGGGCAATTTTGGGAGCAGCAGACAAGTGACTTTGTTGCCAGTACGGCACTGGCCGGACAAAAGTTGGCAATGAAAGTTCCAGGTCGGCATTATTTGAGTTTGGTGATGTGGGGGCACACATGGATAAATAGTTCACTTCTCGTTTAAAAGAAAAAAAAAAACAAATTTTACATTTTGATAAACAATATATCAATCAATAATTAAAAGCTTTTTGGTGCTAAACCGAAATCAGTAATAATTAATTGCAATAGCTTTAGGTTTTTAAGATTTGAAGTTTTTCGCAACCGTTTATATAATACCTTGCCAGAACAGAAAGTACAGTCAGGCAGGCAAATGATTTGAGAATAAATATACTAAGAGGTACCCTAAGAGGTACCCTAAACTTCATAATAGTCTTTCTTGTCGATGCTTAAGCTTCTATTGAACCAAAAGCTTACTTCCATATGACAATTATTTAAAATAGTTTTGTATGTTAGTCGCTAAAATCATAAAAAGCAAATATATATAAATATTTTCAGTAATTCCAACACTAATTTTTGCAATTTATAATAAATCGCAAGCTATAAAAAGAACATTATAACAGGCCAGAAAGCAATTTTAAGCTTTTCTGGTATTATTTTTCAATAAATAATTGCTAAAAGCTTACTAAAGCTGTTCAATTCGACCACTAAATGGGAAAAGAGACAATGTGAACCTTTACTTTATGGTTTAATTTAAAACTTCACAGCTAAACCTCAATCTTTTTAAGACATATATTTAATGATTATATAGACGTTATCATAAAAATATAAATATTTACACTAGAATATTAATTCAGTCGTTGCGATCTCTCTTCCTCTTCTCTGATTCGTTTCCGTATGTCACTTAGGAAGGGCTGTAAATATAACTTATTCTTATTTCCATCAGCCGTGGAACCTACGATATGTGTCAGGTGAGCTCTTTTTCCATGCCATGAGATCACTGGTTGTCCTTGTCTAAATGCACCGCGTTCCACAGGACTTACGCCTGGAACACCTGCACTCAGATCCTTTAAGCAAATAGGTCGAACTGTTGCCGAAAACCTTAAAGGACGCACAAGTATAAGCAGGACCAGCGCTTGGTCCGTAGTGCTGTGTAATTTGGATCTGAAAAGGAAATTTGATATTATTTGAATGTTGTCTCACTGTTGATAGGTTTTGCATTTAAATTAAAATAATTGAGAGGGAATTTTTTATTCAAGCTGCCTTAAACTCATAATTTGTTAATTCATTTAATTCTTTTTTAATAATTATCTCCTATATGTGAGAAATACTTGCAGAGAGTGACTTCAAATAAGTTATCTGATATAATACAGCTATTCTAAATCCATTGCTTAGTTGGAACTCGTTTGATGATTTTTCAAAGGGAAAAATTCTTCAGCTCTATCTTTACGGCTATCCTACCGAGCTATAAATACTCCACTTTACTTACGTCAGATATTGAATCTGCGAGATGTTGTGCAGTATATATCCATGGGGTTGTTCGCGGACAAATTCAATTTCATGGTGCCCCTGGGCGATGGTATAGCTCGTATGGTCATTGGCAGCTAATCCATGCACCCCAGTCGAAAAGCAGCGCTCTGTGGTGAGCACAATACGAGGAGCAACAATGACGCCCAGACAACGAAAGTTGAAGTTCTGGGTGCTTGTTTCGTGGAATATGCTAACCATCCAGGGCTGCTGGCCACTGTCCTCTTGAGTGCGTGCAATGCGTCCACAATCGGGCGAGCACTGCAGAGTGGTTTCGTCTTCCCACTGCCAATTACCGTTGCTGTCGCAAACTAGGAGTCCAGTTGCCGGATTCGTTTCCGATACGTAACCCTCCGCACATCTTAGCTTCAATTTGGTGCCGGGCAACAAAGGAATCATGTCAATCAGACAATCGAATTCGCGTCCATTGTGGCTGCAGCTTGTCGTGCGTGAAACATCGCGTGCGATGAACTGACGACTACACCTCTGTCCACAATCGGGCCAAGCATGTTCTCTGTTCTGGTGGAAAGGAGGAACAGTTGCTGTTTGTGGCTTCTTTGAATACTTCCAGGCTGCGGTCCAAGGCGTATTCTTCGGCCACTGTTCTTTGTGCAATTGAAGACAAATCTGTTCCATTTCATCGCTACCATCGGCACAGTCTATCACATGGTCGCAGAGACTCTGGCCACCCACACAGCCGCCATAGGCACATCGAAAGGCGTACTCTGGACAAATAGAGCCGGCACACAGCTCCAGGGACTCGTCGCTACCATCCTCACAATGGGCCGTTCCATCGCAGATTTCATTCATCGACAGACACTTGGTAGAGTGACGACATTGGTAGTATTGGTTACTAAAAGCAAACAAAACTAATTAATCACTTTATAAAATCGAATCAAATCTGCATTAGGCGCGATGGAGAGCTTATTTATAGATTTCTATAAATCTTACCCAACTATTAGGCTTCTCAAAAAAAGCTTTTGGCTTAAAAAACGTTCATTACAAATAGCATGGTCATTAGTTAATCTAATAATAATGGCTTAGATATAAATATCCCATGAACAAACTGTTGGTTCTACAAGTATACCCATACCTGTCGCAACTGCCCCTTAATTCCCTAACATATTCCGCATGTTGGGTCTCGTTGCCACACTCGAGCTTAGTCTCATCCGAATTGTCCCAGCAGTTCTGTATGCCGTTACATTTGGCGCTTTTGTCGATGCAACCGCCATAGGAGCAGCGGAATCTGTTGCACGGTTGTTTGTAGCACTGCAAAAAGGTCTCATCACTGCCATCCTCGCAATTCCTGAAGCCGTCACACTTCTGTTCTGCTGCTATGCAGGCTCCACTGCTGCATTGAAACTGTCCCAATACGCACTGTGGCTGTGTATCCGCATCGGCTATAATTAAAGATGCAGGTATGTAATTCAAGATTCAAGTTCGCACTGCAAAGCGTGACAAATAGTCGAATAGAAGAATTATTTGTTAATTAATTTTCTACCATGATAATGTGTCTTTTAAGTAGAATTTTATATTTTCGTTATTTAAAGCATAAAAAGGAACACACTAACTAATACTATGAACATTATTATAACAATAAATAAATATAGCAATCAATATTGGGGAAAAGAGCAGGGGAATCCCATTGGCATTATTTATTTTTGGACAGCTTGATTAATGCAAATGCGAACAAAAGATCACTGAAGAGCGGCTACGGACGCGCTCTCCGGTTGGCCAGCACTTAAGCGTTCATAAATTAACATCTAATTAAATATAATATTATTTCAAAATCCAAAAAGTCAACTTTAATGTTCGACTATTTTGTACTCAATGGGGAATTTCTTTTGAGCATTTGTTCCATTCGTTTATAGAGCCTTCTAAAGCAGCCCTATGCATATTATATTTTGTTATCATTTCATAAAAACTCACCAGACCAGGAATATAGTATTAAACACACAGTTAGCAGTATATTCTTTGAAATACTACGCATTGTTATTGATTAATATTTTTAATGTCGCTCGACCGCGAAAACAAACCACACGCTCTCACGCTGTGCCACAAACTGCTGTTATAATTCTTTAGAGCACATTATACTCACACCGAAGTCCCAACAAAAGCTTGACTGTCTTCTGACTAAGCAAGCTGGGGAAAAATTCCCAGTTGTTGCACGACGGGTTTATTTTAACGATAGACCCAAGCGATTGCGTCGTGCTCTCAGGCAGTGGCGATATACCTGACCCTCGAGCTACAAGTAGTTGCTGATTACAATTCGATTTTGTGATTATTTTTTGTTTTTGCATTCGCTTTAGGCAGTACAGGGCCTTTGTGTCGTCGGTTTGTGCTGGTACTTTTGTTTTGAACGATTTATTCTTCTGTATAATCACAAGTAAGAGGGTTTTATTTATTTTTACTCGTACTGTCGCGGACGACACACTCGCGCGCCCGAAGAGCCACAATGACCAACAAGATGATCTTGTGGCCGCACCAAACAGAAAACAAAATACAGAAAAACCAGAAGAAATACATAAAACGGAAAAACCGAAAAATGCAAACTTTTAGGAAACTTTTTGCACTGCAAGGCGTCAACGACCACCACTCCTGGATAGTGCTGCAAAGCTGGCTTTTATCCAATTAAGTCATAACTCAATATGTGCTGAGAAATATGATGCACTTGGTCATTACTTGGACCGGGAAAGAGCAGTGGAAAGGACCAAGCAGGGCGAGTGGTTGGGCAGAAGCCTGCTCTAATAACTTTTGAGTTCGCTTTTTGTGTCCAGCCCAGTTCTTTACTCAGCCCAACTCGACTCCCCTTCCATTGCTGTTTTCTCTGCGGCTAAACAGATAATTTTCACACCAAACTGACGGCCCTCCTCCGATTCGGCGAAGCCATGTAATTTGCAGGCAAATTCTCAAGTGAAGGCGCCAAAGGATAAGAAGAAGACGTCCATGGTCCAAAGTCGTCGCCGTCTTTGCTGAAATTTTAGTTTATGTGTCGAGCAACAGCTTCCGCTTTATGGTAGTTAGAGTTAGCGATGGACCTGAAGTCGTGAGTGCACTCCACAGCTAAAATATATTATCAATAAAGTGCTTAAAACACCGATTGGTTAATGTTAATTGTTGTTCTTGTTAGTGTTGTTCTCGATGAATGTTATTATTTGTTATTATTTTATTCGCCGATGACGAAATTGCGGGTGACTGTGGAATTGTTTTCGGTAATGAAGATAGTGATATCATGGAAATGACGATGTGGATTCTGCTGTTGTTCTGGAAACTTGTGCTGATGTCAACGATGTACTCAACTTTCTTAGTTCGGATTCTTTAAAACTTTGCAACAGAATAAATAAATAAATATTTAGTTAGGGGTGTTTAAATATGCAGTTTTTACTATTTTTGTCAGTTTTTACTTAATATTGTTACGTAAAATCTAAACTAATTATTTGTATATACAAAAAATTCATTTTAAAAATGCTGCTAATTTTCTGCTAAGACATCGAATGAATGGCTTGATATTTTCAAAACGACAGCAGCTGGTAATTCAACTAGTGAATAGATTTAGGTTGTAGTGCTTGGAAATTGAATTTATTTAATCAACAACTGAAATCGGCCGTTGCTTTAAACAAGATTTGATGGAAGCATGCTTTTGATCTTAATAGACTGGTTTCTTTTTTTTTTTTGGGAGCCACTTGAGGGTAGCATAACGGAATCATCAAGTGAAAAGGTTGTCGTTCTTAAGTAATTTTATTGATTTAAAGTAAAGCCTAAACATAGTAGGTTTTGCACAATGTTCTCTCTTGATCCAAACAATAATAATATTAAATGGAATGGAGTTTCATAATGAGTATCACGCACCCATCCCTAACGATGTCACTGCCACAACTCGTTTTGCTGTGACCGGGCCAAGTGTTGGACCAACTCGATGCGATGCAGTGCGGTTCGTTCCGACTCCGTTACGCTTGGCTTTGTTTTGGCCGCAGTCCTTCGTGACCAGAAGGCAGCAGCAGCAGAAGGAGCAGGAGTGTGTCGAGGTCAGGGGGCAGCGGACTAGGTAGTTGCTATCCATCTGCAGTTGAGAGCGTGCATAAATTATTCATTTGTAATGTGGAGCACAGTGGTCGTGTCTGGTGCGAGCATTGCTCTCTCAGCTGGTAGCTGGGCTTGGTCCGCTTGGTCCTTTTGGGCGGTCCTTTGGCCGCTCGGGGTGCACCACTTTCGGTACAGGATATGACACTGACACTCGGCGTGTTCGCCCTCTACTGGCCCTCCCCAGCTTCAGCCCCAAAACCCCTATCTGCCAGCGTCAACAACTTCCTTGGTGGCAGTCGCTCTTGGCGTTTACTTTGGTTTGTAATTTCCTTCTTGAGTTTGCTGTGCCAGAAGAAAAACACAAACCAAGAAGAGGAAAACGTGCATGGATGGATGAAAAAAGAAAACCTCAAGAAATACACAGCAGCCAGCAAATTACGATTGCAGTTGCATTTTCTGGGGACAGGGTCCTCAACTCTTCGTCTCTCTGCTGCCGATTTTATTTTGGCTTACCACTTCTTCGCATTGGGGAGTCGCTCTTACAGTTCCAAAGTTTAAAGTTTGCGCCCTCTGTCAGTGTGCATAAGTGTATGTGTATCAGTGTGTGTGTGTGTGTGTGTGTGTGTGTGTGTGTGTGTGAGTATGTGCGTGCGAAAAAGTTTCATTTGTGAATTGAAAAATTATTTTTAGTTTCATATGCAGAGTGTTTGTCATTTGCAGGCGGGTCTGCCAACTCATTGACAAAATAGAAACTTGTTGACTTAGTTTCTGCTTCTTTGAGTCGACAGTCGGGAGTCGACATTTCTGCCCCTCGTCTCCCACTTCCGTCTCTACTTGTAGACTGTTGCATGCGCTTCCCAGAATTGTCTGTGCAGCTTCTTTTGCGGCTCACGCAAGCATGAACTGCTGCTTTTGTAGCGCATACCCACACATTTGCACACACACACACAACCACGCAATTGCCAGGCACCCTGAATGTAGGCAACATTTTTTAATTACGTGTATGTTGCGGCTAAATTGTAATACTTTGTCAAGCTTCTGTGGTCTTAAAGTGCAAAAACGAAGCTCGCTTTCATATTAAGATGTTTGCTGATTAATTAAAATGTGGGTTTCACTCTCTATGTGCGGGTTACTTCATTAAAGACTGTGGCTTAAAGCTTAAGGCTGGATAGCAGCATAAAATTGAAGAAAGAAAAATATTCGCAGTTCTTCAATCCATGTGAAGGTAAAGATACCACTCATGGGCTTAATAGAAAGTGTAAAAGAATAATTTATATACTAGAAATTGTAGGATAATATTATTTCGTAAACTACTATCATAAGGCATATCTAAATTGAAATACAGTCAACTAGTAATTTATAAATTGCTTCACCATCTTCCACTACCTCCTAGAAGGCTGCAACTAACCAACTCTCAAATAAAATTACGTAAAGTGAATTAAAGGAAAGTTTCCAGCTGCAATGCTAGGGCACTATTACGGAAAATTCTTGCAGAGCTCTAAAAAAAATGAGTACCAGAAATGAAATTAACGTATGCCAAATTAGAGACAGAACTGCAGGTCCAGGAGCACGTGGCCAAGATAAAACTGCTCGCAAATATATACACATGTATAGAATGTGTGTATGTGTGTGTGAAATGGCAATAGCAGAGAACGTGCGCACATGCTGAGGCAGTGGGAGAAACGTGTGGATGTGGACTTTTAGCAAAAATTAACAGAATTACACTTAAGTAATTAGGAATTTCAAAAACAGTGTAATAAGCGAATGTGCTAGTTGGACATGGACGAGGACGGAAATGAGGACACGGGCAGAGGAGGGCCTGAAATTGTCAACCTAGAGTGGTAGCCACAGATAGAAGGGTCAGAGATATTGCGGGGGAGACATGCATACTGCGAGCAATGTGCTAATCAAATTGCACAGACACACACTCCTATATATACTCGTATGTATGAGAATATAGTATCAGTCGTGCATGATTGCAGTGCTTCGTTGGCTGAGTTAATAAAAGTTACGCAACTGGAATTAAAATATATTTCATGGCATTCAGGTAAAATATTTTTAGCTAGATGTGTTTAAGCAATTTATATATAGAGAGCAGTAGTAATGTAGGTTGTGGAACAGCAAGAGGAACTGACTCCATTCGAAGAATATTTGTTTACATTTTGACAGAGTTAGTGACGTCATTAGAATATTATATTTGCTTACATACAGATGTATATAAATAAATAAATATCATAGAATATCTGTGTATATATATAAATATATATGCGTGCGCTCCATGATTGTAAAATACTAAAACCAAACCAAAGATAAAATAAAACCGGAGATAAGGCAACAAGAAGATTGTGGAATGTTATTTAAAAATTGTGGTTTTGTGAGGAGTTTTTGAGTGCAGCTGGAGCAGCGGCTAAGAATTAAGTCTCACTAAACTGAAATGTGTGTGGTTACAGTTGCCTCTCATATTGCAGCGGAATTTAAAATCCATTCATCAATAATAATTTCAATGATGAATGAGTTTCAGGATAGAGATAGTGGATGGACACTCGCAAAAATTATTCGTCTTGACATGAATATAAACAAATACGTTCCACTCAGAGGTTCCAGGTACATCTTTGCCTAGAGAACTCCTGGCCAAGAGAGCAATCATCAATGTGAAGAACAACGATGAGGTTTGTTTTAAGTCAGCAGTGATATCGGCGCTGAAGATGGCCGCTCACAACCCCCACAGATGTTCAAATGAAATTTACGCAACCTATTTGAGCTATATACTTCCATTGAACAAGAGTTTTGAAGATGAAAGGCAATTCAACAATGCAATTAATTGCCATATTTGTCATAAAGTTTTAGGCGTAGATAGAGTGAGAGATCATTGTCACTTAACTGGGAAATTTAGGGGTGCACCACATACTTGTTAGAAGTGTAATATTAATTACAAAATTGCTTATTTCATTCCAGTGCTTTTCATAATTTTTCGCGTTTGATGCGCATTTGCTTGTGAGGGAACTAAACAAAGTCAACAGT